CTGGGTGTGAGTCCTTTTACTGCAGGGCTTCATATGTGTTTGTGGAATGGCACCTGTCCCATTTCACCTGACAGAGAAAAGCCATTTCATTCTACTCAAACCCCGAATGAGGTTTTTAAGGGAGCTGAACACTGGGTGTGCTTCAGTGAGCAGAAGGAAAATGAGGGTTTGTGAGCACGAACAAATGACTATCTGAGCGCACTATGAGAGAAAGCGATGAGAAAACTAGATATTGGAACATTGTGAGACACAAACAGAATGGAAAATGACGAAATCTATGGCATTTGCACATTCAGTAAGTTAAGATGAACATTTTTTCCAAAAGCTAGGCAGTCTCCCCGTGGACTCATTGCTTCAACACAAAGATTATTCATTATTATTTTAACTAATAATAATGCCCACAATGATGCCTGCATATCTGTGGTTTTTCTTCCCTATCTACTACAAATGGATTAGTGCAGTGTGCCATACATACACATGTGTGTTCATGCACACACATACACATATATGTTTCTGATGGTTGAAATAGCTGATCTTAAATTTAAACACAAGAGAATTCTTAGACCTTGAATTTTCCAGAAGTTTGAATCTTATTAACACTTAATTTTCTTTTACTTTCTGATAATTTTCCATTATGCTTATTTAATATTGTGATAAACAAAGTAGAACCAAAACAACTAACCAAAAAAACTCCAACTAAACCACAGATAACCTCGCAGAACAGAAAACGGTCCCAGCCGAGAGCTGTAAGATCTACTCTCTGGCCACAGGTTTTACTCAAAGTCGTTGTGCCACGCTAGGCCGGTAGTTCATCTTTCTGACTCTCAGTTTCCTTTATCTGTAAAATTATGCTTACATAAACTTGTTCATGAAGTTCTTCCAGCTCTAACACGCTGCATGTATGTTCTCATTAGAAATCATGTGCAAAAAAGCTTAAATTATCTCAGTTTAAATCCATGGTGTGAACAATGTCTCTAATGTTGACTGAGTGAAAGGAGACCCTTGATTTAGTTACTGCAAAGCTCTTCTTCAGCAAGAGCACCGGAATTGGGTGCGGGATTGTTGGGGATGCCGTCCTCTGCCGGCACCGGTTTCATTATCGTAGTGTGTAGGCACATAACTTGAGAATTTTTTCCTTGACTCGACATAGATAAGTCTGGATGGGAGCTAGTGAATTTAAGAAGAAAGTGTTTACACTGAATTCTCCCCCACACCTTACTTGTTTTAAAAATTTCCTCTCGGCGCATGCATCTCTCTTGCACGGCCTTTCACGGGGAAGCCGACCTGTGTCCCAGCGGGCTGTGCCTTCCGCCCTGGGCGTCTCTCCCTCCTGCCTCCCATATCTTACGTCTTCACACCTCGTTTTCTGACAGATAACTTATAAGCTATTAGTTTGCAATAATAGGTTCATTGCAGATCTTAGGTAAGTTATTTGTCTTGTAACAGAACCTGAGCTGGATAATTATAAAGATATTTTCTGACCATGTTTCCATTGTCTGTCATTGACCTTTAGTGTTCTTAAAATTTTAAAAATGTGTATTCTTATGCCACACCCTAGGAATATAATTAACAGTTTTCGTAAGCATTTGAGATGAAAACTAGGAAAAATAATAATTAATGATTCATATTTCTAATAAATAGAAACAGTTTCCTACAAGAATAAGACGAATTTGTTCCATCTCTCTTCAGCTGTGTCCTGTGGAATCCCAGAATCCCCAGGAAACGGTTCCTTCACGGGTAACGAGTTCACTTTGGACAGTAAGGTGACCTATGAATGCAACGAGGGCTTTAAGCTAGAAGCCGGTCAGCAGGTGACGGCGGTGTGCCGGGAGGACGGACTCTGGAGCAACAAGGGGAAGCCGCCCGCCTGCAAAGGTAAGTGCCCACGTGTGTTCGCCCGTCTTTGTAGGTTTGCGGGAACCGGGTCCAGCGGGGAAAGCGCTGAGTTCCGGGCTGCAGGGGTCCCCCACCCCACGGTGCGGGTACTTGGGCTCTTTCATCGTAGCAATATGAAAACTAGATTTATTCCATGTAAAACGCTCCAGCTATTTGAAATGCGCTATGCACTCTCGAAAGTTAGATGGATGCCGTTGGTCCCATCAGTGTAGATACCGTGTAATTTATACCGCCAATCCTGTTCTGAGATGCCGTTTTCAATTTGGGGAGATGAAATCTAGAGGAAGTTGAGACATTAAGCCCAGCAACAGCCCTCTACACAGATATCAAGACGTAATTCAGCGCGAGTTTTCTTCTTCGTCTCCCGTCGAATTCTAAGTTCTTTGATGCCGAGACAATGTCTAATTTATTTGTGTATTGCCTGTGCTGCACGGCACATTGAGGCACAGTGAAGAAAGCACTAATTTGATTTGCAAAGTGAGGTAAGTTTTCTAGAAAGCTGTTTATAGTCTATGATAATATTCTTAAAAGGGTCAAAAGTTTGTATCCATTCTGGAACCCTAGTCTTACAAAAATAGTGAAGTCTATAATGCAAAGTCAAATAAACGTTCCTTCTCTCTCTTTCTCACACATAGACACACACACACACACAGACACACACACACACACACACACACACACACACACATACACATACAATTTCTTCAGCAAGATTTTCATTTCAGGGATGTTAAAACTAGGCTCAAGTTGGAAATAATGTAACCTCCCACCTTCTCTAAATTAGAGACTATCTAATATTTCTATATATACAATGGTATTTTTGCTGTAGCAGAATAAATGATTTTATTATTGAAGACCATATTAAAGAAAGTGAACTACTTAGATATGAATATATAAATGTCTATGGAAAATAGTTGAATTCTCACCAACAGTTTTTATTTTTTTTTGCTATCACTTTCATCATTTTTATTGCATTTCCTTAGATTCAGTTAGGCAATATGAAACAACAATAATATTTCCTGGTTATTTTCAACTTAATAAGGTACTGTTTTATGGCAATTAAGTAATGCAGTGGAAAGCTAGGATAGCAAGATACATTGGTATGATTTCTGAGTTCCGTCTGAAACAAAATTATTCTCTCAGAATAAGAATTTAATCTGACGGATGGCAATAACACAAATGTTTTGGGTTGATTTGAATAAGAATGACTTCCCAGACATTTAAAGCAGTGCTCATTTTGCACGTAGCCTGGAGATCATTAATGATGATGCCACCTTTAAAGTGTGTATTACCTGCTAGATTTTTCAAATACTTACCTATAAAACTCATAAAAAAAAAAAAAAACCCTGAAAAGGTGGGATACTGGTGACCTTACAAACGAGATGAAAGCTACTAATTTGCAGAGCTGAGGCTTGAATCCCGCTCTCTCTGGTTTTAAATCCTATGACCCTTTCACGATGCCGTATTCCTCTACTCTGAGTGTGTTAAAATCCTCTACAGAGCTTTAAAGTAAATACTAGTATCCAGATTTGACCCCCAGGGATTCTGAGTTAACCACTCTTGGGTGGAGACCAGGCATCTGTTTTTCATAGACTTTTTTTTTAAGTTCTCTGGGTGTTATGCTTAAAATGTCAAGTATATGCTATTCCTATAAAACGGGTTTTACAGGAAAACCCATTTTAAATTTGTATACTCTTTGAGAGAGACTTGATAAATGACAAGGTAACTACATAATATATAATTTTTATTTTCACATCTTTTGTGTTTTTGTTTAATAGACTTTATCTTTTAGAGTTTTAGATTCACAGCAAAATTGAGTGGAAGGTTCAGAGTGTCCCAGTACACACCCCGCCTCCCCCCGGCCCCGCAGCACGCACAGCCCCCCCGCTAAACACACCTCACCCGAGTGGTGTGTGTGCTGCAGAGGATGAACCCACATTGGCATGTCGTCACCCAGAGACCGGGGTTGACACTGGGGCTCACTCCTGGTGCTGACATCCTATGGGTTTGGATAAACGCGGAGTGACACAGACTCACCGTTACAGTGTCACACGGGGCAGATTCTCTGCCCTAAAAATCCCTCGTGCTCCATCTGCTCATCCCTCCTCCCCCAACCCCTGACAACCACTGATCTTGTTACCGTCTCAGTAGTTTTTCCTTTTCTGGAATGTCATATAGTTGGAATCCCACAGTGAGAAAAGGCTACTGCTTTTTCAGATGGACTCTTTGAGTCGGCAGCATGCATTTAAGTTTCCTCCATGTCTTGCGTGGCTCTGTAGCTCATTTCTTTTTTTGCTGAAAAATATTCCCTTGTCTGTCTGCACCAGGGTTTATGTTCCCATTCACCTGCTGAAGGACGTCTTGGCTGCGTCCAAGTTTTGCAGTTATGAGCAATACTTACATAAACTACTATGCATTCATTTTTACAACCTTTTATGTTTGTGCCTTGTATTTAAATATAAACATTTTAGGTACACATGTAATTTTATACGTGCATACCTATGTGTGTTTGTGTCTGTATGGGTATGTGTTTGTGTGCATATATATTTGTACCACGAGGCAGCAGATTCTTTCACTGGTACTTAGTTTGTTTCTGTTTTTCTCTGGGGAAAAAAGAAAAGTCATATCAACCTTCATTTCTTTTAGCCTAATTGAAAAACGATGTTTTGTGCTCATCAGGCCTCAATCCCTTAGATCTATTGGTTGGCTTTTCTCTGGCCATCAATAGTGTATAGAAAACCACAAAAAAAAGAGTGAAAAATGGAAGAAAAAGCAGCTGCAATTTCATCAGCCAGAACCAAGCACCTCAACCCTTTAAATACGTTTGAACTATTTTCCTTCCACCCGTGAGAATGAAAAACTGTCGACAAATTAAATTCAGCAGAGTTTATTCGTGTTAGCAATGATTCATGCATTGGGCAATCCTCCAAACCAGAAGGGGTTCAGAGAGCCCCACCCCCCGCCCGGGCAGGCGCATCCCTGGGCAGAAGGAAGCAGCTGGATGGGCTGCAGGTGGGCCTGGCTCATGTGGGCGTGGTCTGACCAGCGGGCAGCCTGTGATTGGCTGAGGCTCAGGGACCTGTTACAAGAGTATCCTCTTATTAGGTTGTGGTTTGTTTGCATTCTAAGTTAGGCTGCAGTTCACAATGGAAGAATGTGAAGATTTTTTGTTCTCATTAATCCAATCAAGAAAGACTGACATAATATATGAATTAAGAATGAGCATACTTTGGGGTGGAGGAGGAAGGGTACTCCAGCCAGAGCCAACTGCCGGTGCTGAAGCCAGGTGTCTGTTTGCACCTGGTAGAAAAGATTTACTGGGACCGTCGCCTTAGGTGTGTCTCCACTGGTGAGAGACTGGGTCTTAAACAGCCTTTGTTCACAGTGAGCTAGAACCAGGTAGCATGACTCTAAGGATGCAAGTTGTTTTCAAGGCGACTGTGAGCAAGGAAAGTTTTAAGGAAATCACTTTCCCGTTGCTGAGCATCCGTGTTTACTCTTCCCTCACGTCCCTGTTGGCGTGGGTTCTCTCAACCAGGGTGTTTCTCTTCTCCATCCTTCTCAACCGTGCTTTAGAAAAGAGAGGCTTCATTGTAACCTGCTGGGATGCCTTGCAGCACCTAGACTTATTATGCGGACACTGGAGTCAAAACCGTGGCATTGGTACAAGGAAAGAGCAATGGCACAGAACACAGGGCTCAGGAAAATATTTATTCGATTCTTTAATGAAAGTGACATTGCAGCACAGCAAGAGAACAGATGGTCTCTTCAAAAATGGTCCAAGTGGGTATCGGCATGGGGAAAACGAAACTTGACCCTGTATCATAGAGCGTACAAAATCTGTGCAAGGTGGTAAAGACCTCAGCGTGAAAGGTAAAATGCAAAGTGCTAAAAACGCAGCGTCCCGGATCCCACCATCCCGCCGACATGAGCCTGGCTCAGCGAAGCCTGCATGAGGAAGTCCGCTTCCCCGTAACACAGGGAAATGGATACAATCAGCCGTGTTAAGTTTCAGCATGTCTGTTCCTCAGAACACGCGACCAAGAGCTTGGTAAAGGCGAGCCCAGAACAGGCGAAGTTATTTGAAGGGCACGTGTCAAACAAATACTGTCTAAAGAATTCCAGAAAGAAAAATGCAGAAAATCTAGTAGTTGGCACTACACTGCCCCCCCACCAGAATTTATAACTTTGTAAAACAAAAAAGAAGACACCAGGTGTTGAAAAGAATGCTAAACAACTGAAACTCAAATGCATTGTTGGTGACAGTGTACGTTGATGTATTCATTTTGGAAAAATAAAATATTTGGTGGCATCTACTAAACCTGAAAATAACTCATGAGCCAAGATTCCCACTCCTAGAAACATGTGCATGTGTATGTTTATCTAAAAATTACCTAAGAGAAATAAATGTAAGGATTATTTTTATATTAGCATTTTTTTCATATTTTAAACCTCATTGATATTACTGTGATAATACCAAAAAGGCCTATTTTTTTAAAGTTTATTTGCACATAGTGTTTATAAATTACCGAGAGAAGACTAAATGATATTTTTGTAACATTTTTGGTTATGTTTGACTCAATTATAATGAACTTGTGTAGAATTTAAATGTAAAATATATTTATACTATGATTCTGAAAGAAACTATGGTTTCTCTAGCCAATTCTTTCAGGTTTAGTAAATTAAGCAATCTGGTCACTTTTGTTGGTAATTGATTGTGGCGGATGTTAGCTAATTAGATGCTTCATATTTAGAGAAGTGGTCTGGTCCCAACTCCGTATACTTTATTTTAAATCTTATTGTGCTTTTCAGAAAAATACACTCGCATGCAACCAAAGCTTTGCATGTATTTTCAGCATATTTATAAATTCCTTGCAGTCCACCCTAATATTATATGACTGCTACCAGTACTGTTGCTGCTACTGCTACTAATTACTACTGCTATTAGAATTGTTACCACTTAGTAACTGTTAACACTGTTACTACTGCTACTATTTCTACTGCTATTACAATTGCTACCACTGCTCTTTAATAAGTAACTACTATATCCCAGGCCTTTTCCTGGTGGCACAAGTAGATTATCTCCTTCAATGTTTGTTAAACATCTTTCTGAACAGTATCAATGCAGTGTGCCTGTATGTGTCTGTGTGCTTACAAATCCGGTAATATGCAGATATACTACATATGTGTGTTTCCTAGACAGGAAGACGTGAGAGCATCTGATTTTCTGGAAATTACTGTCCAAGCTGGTTTTCAGTTACACAGTTACTATCCCAAGTTCCTCAGAGGATATCAAGACAAATTACTTGTACGATTTCTATACGTATGTGCTCATTACCCTGGTGAAAATTTTCAACTCCCGCGCACCACATACCTTGTGGAAGGGATTTGCCCCTTTGCGTCTCAGTCTGAAGGCAGCTTTCCAACACATCCGTAATGAGGCAGTTGGGAGCATTTTGCATATGGGATCGTTCCCACGGGATCATGTGGGTCACAGAGGAACTCTGAAATCACATGGGACGGCATTGATTTTTCCCTGCACAGTCGGCTTCATGGAGTAGGCTCTGACCACGCAAAGCAAGCAGGGTCTGATCCCTGTAGGAAAAAATGATGACACTGAGTATGTTTCCCTCCTAGCGGTCCCTTGCCCCAGCATCGAAGCTCAGCTCTCGGAACACGTCATCTGGAGGCTGGTTTCGGGATCGCTGAATGAGTATGGAGCCCAGGTGTTGCTGAGCTGCAGCCCTGGCTACTATTTGGAGGGCCGGAGGCTCGTTCAGTGCCAAGCTAACGGGACATGGAGCGCAGGAGAGGAGAGGCCCAGCTGCAAAGGTAAGTGACGAGCAAAGTACTCCCAGGTGCGAAATTACTGAATTACTTACATCCGTGGCATCCCCTTCAATGGCATTATACTCTGTCATCGTCCTGTAGATCAAAACTAGTCCTGTAGGCCAAAGGCATATGGCATGTCTTTCATTCCAAGGACAAATATGTATTTTTATGTGACATTCTTAAAACATACGACTGCTGGATTAGAAGTTAAATGTTGCACTTTCCTTGTTCGTGATTATATTTTATAAACTTTAAAGTATTAGAACATTCAAATATTTCAAATCAGCTCAAAAACAAAGCAGGCCTGTGTTTCAAAAGATAACTCTTACTCCACACACTGACTGTTCCAAAGTTCTAATTAGGGTCTTGGGAAATGGTGTTTATGCTGAAGATATCGTGTTCTCGAATAATGACTGTCTGGAAGGGAAGATGATTATTCTCTTAGGTACAAGATAAGTGGTTAAGGCTTTGAGCGAGTTTCATACGAAATATGAATAATCAGAAAAAATAAAACAATATTGGTATTGTTCAGAGCACTGTTTGATTCAGACATACTTAATAATACAATCTGCAGTTGATTGTTCGCAGGAAATTATCATGCAGAGGAACAAGTAGTTAGACCAGCGTGTAATTCCTGAGGTACGCAGCTTAGTAAGAATAAACCAGAATTCAAACACAGAAAAAGACACAACAATGAATGCTTAGCTACCTTCGATGCTAATTTTAATTCGATGTTTAATAGAACAAATGTTAATTGTGCACGTAATACAGACTCTTCACCAGGAACACAAAGAAATCAGGAAGGATCGCTGACCTCAAGGAGTTGTGAGTCCTGGTTTCCCCAGGATAGCCCCGCCTGAAGCCTCTTTCCCGGGGAATTGTCAGTGGTTCCTTGTCACTCTGACGAGTGTCCTGGTTTGCACGATTAATGACCTGGTCACAGAGTTTGTGGTGAATTCCTCTCTGCTACACTTCCGCCCCATGGTAAGCGCCTCCTTGCTGGTCTTCCACATCTACCCACCCTGGAATGTCAACTTGTGACCTGGAGACTCCAGTGGTAGGGCCACCGAGGCGCGATGAGAAGGATTTGGAAGCACTTACCTTGTGCCTCTTTCAGACTCTTCCAGCCAACACCATTTTGTCGGTTTCAAACCAGAAACAGGATCTTAAAGATAGACCCCACTGACTCCCTGGAGCTGGGGTGTTCTCACAGGCTTCTGCAGACGCAACAAGCCCAACATGGCTGCTGCTTGTCTTCCTAATTCTCCAGGGATGCCCAGCTACAAAGTCCCTATCTGCTCAGGGCAGGGGCAGGCTGGATGGATGCCGGCTGTGCCACAGCCTTTTACGCTAACGGCTCAAGCCGCCATTCCAGAAGAGTTTACTCTTACATTTGAGAGCCTTCTGTGTAAGGGAATGGTCACAGAAACCAGGCTCCCGTGAGTCTTGCCCCAAACTCATTAGCAACAAGGCACCAACTTCGCTGGGGGAAGAAAGCAAAGTCCTTGATTAGTATTTCTGCGTCCAGCCTCCAACATTCTAGAAAGTCCGTTTTCCTGACTCTGATCTCACCCTCTGTATGCTGGTGGTTCTGATGCAGAGTTTGGTACAGGGACAGCGACCACTCATCCATTCTTTTCCTGTACCCAGCCGTCTCGGGACACGTGTTTATTTTGTAAACTGACGTCTGTCCGTGGATGCACACGGCCCGGGCACAGCTGTCCTCGCACTTGGTGATTTGTCTCTTGAATGTCATCATGGACATGTGGCAGTTTCCCAGAATCGGTGGATTCTAACTGAAGTCATTCTTTGCTTTTTTTGTTCTTGTGTTTTGATCAGTGTTTGCAGTTCAGATGGTCACAATTTGGCCAGGGGGGTCCCTCTCACACAGCTTCTTCATTTTGTCCTTCTGACACCTCTAAAAGGTCCTTGTGTTGCCAAAGAGACAGGACAGTCTGTGCTCCTCCTGACTATTTCTTACCAGACATGGAATCAGCCGTTCTCCAAGGAGCCCTGGAGCCTTCTGGTGGAAAACGGGATTAGAGACAAAATCTGTGCCGGGGAAAGGTGTTCTATCACGCATGTGACCAACGGGAAAGGTGACGTGGAGTTTACTGTCACCCTCTGACCCAGCTGACACTTTTCTGTCTGTTTTCTTTTACCCCCAAAAGGCCTGATGTTGATACTGTTGAATTTATTTCTGTTTCTACTTTTTTTTTTTTTTGCTGAATTTCTCAATAACAAAAGAGCTTATGAAAGCTTTTTTCCTCTTTTAGGAAATATAAATGTCATATTAGATATGAGAATACTTGACTTTGTGTTTAAATTGTGGTGCTGTCTGAAATTTCAGAAGACTCTATCACCCACGACTCCCCTTCTTCCCTCTTGCCTAAGTGTTTTGGAAATGACATCAGAGTACAGGAGTCTAGAAACCTCCGCCATCAACATATGCAGTAAGCCCTCTACGAAAAATGCATCACTCAGAACACCCTAACGTTGAATTTTCTTGATAATACGCACAAGTAAATGCCCAACTAACATCAGATGACACCAGAGACAGCTCATTGCCCCAGAGACAGCTGATTTCATGTTTGACCATTTTCGCTTTGAGTGAGACCTCCCTTTTGACTTATATCCAGTGACTGATCTTGGATCTATCTCTCTAAGCCTAATAAAACAATTCCAGACTCTGGTCTACACAGCATGCCTTCAAGTATTTGAAGACAACCACTGTGAGTTCCCTGAGCCTTCTGTTCATGATAAAGAGCCCCCACCCCTCACGCCAGCCACGCCGGCCACTCACTGCTCATGAGGGTCTGCGGGTCCATCGGCCTTTTCCCAGCTAGAACATATTTGAAAGCACCTGCTCTTGACCTGGTACTTACTGATCATACCACAAGTAATATCCGTATTTTGGATAGGAATGCTGTTTTTACGGGTATGAGAAATAATATGCTACATTGAGGTTTGTTTTAAATTAGAGTAAATTTCAACGTGGATGGTAGAAGGGAAGGAAAGGGGAAAGGAGGTTTCCTGCGGGAAGGGAGGCAATGGCTTGTGGTCCACGGTAATCAAGAGAAAACGCGCTGCGGCTGGCAAGTTGGGGACGTTCTGGACGCCACCGGCGGAGCATCTTGCGCAGGCGAGGACTCGCTCTGAGAGTTCGAGGGAGGCATTTGGGATTGTGAATATTATTAACAGTCCATTTTTAGTGGAAGAGGAAAAAAAGCAATGAATTCATTTTTTAGAAACTTCGGGGGAGAGAGTAACATGGAAATGAGGCCTTCTCTGTGCTGTCTGCAAAGGCTATTTTTAGTGGTTCTTCCTTTCTGTGAGGCTCGTTTCCCCAAATTGTCGCTGCTGTCCTCATCGGGGTGTCGGGTTTGCTACCCAAGGAAACGCTAGCTCAGAACCCCCTTATCCAGCCACTGGAAAGCTAACACTTTGCTCTATTAGTTCTTTACAATGCAGTAAACCTTATTGGGGAAAAAAATTAAAATCGTCACCAGAATGTTTTTAACAGCGGCTTAAAGGATAGAAAGACCTGCAACAGCGGAGGGAGGCTGCCTGGGTCCATCAGGAGCACTGAGACCTCCAAGAGGAATCGAACTCAAATCTCATTGTTATTTGATGCTTTCCTGGCAAGCCCTGGAGTTTCAGGACAAGATCCAATTATCTTAAATGGTGACAAATGGATCTTTAAATATCATAGTTCAAGGCGAAGTTCACGCTATGTTTGGAAAAAGGCTTAATGAAAAGTTCATGACAAATGGTAAAAATATAAATCCTGCTCGAATTCATTGACATTTGGTACAGCAAACATGTTAGCAATATTACCAAAGGCATCAGATATGACACTCTAATAATTTAACAATCCCCAGAACTAATAAATCATGGAGGCTTTTTCAATGACAATAATGTTCTGATCGTGATGTACTCTCAGGCTGAGCTTCCAAACTTCCGCTGAGCAACCACCCTGAGAACCTGGCCTGGCCGTGTGTCTGACCTTTTAAATTGAGCCTGGGTTGCCCATCTTAGAGTGAAATCAGCTGCATTAAAAGGGACCATCTCAGTGGTACATACGTAAAATGTTTTCTTCCCTTAACTTTAAAGATTTTTGCACTTTTTATTCAATGTACTGAATGGGTCCTGACTTATTACTAATCCTGAGTGAGGCTGATTAAGCACTTACATCATCCTCCCTTTGAGTCCAATGCACGACCTACGTGGTAGCCGCCACTATCCACCCATAACAGGGCCCGGTGACGTTTAGGAAGTTGGCCAGACTCGCCCAGCTGGTACTTGGAGAACTAGGCTTGACCCCGGGCAGCCCACAACAGAATCCGTGTTTTGCGTCGCTGTGTCTTATTGGCTCCTGTCAGTTTACTATTAATAAGGACTCGGGAGTGTTTGCCACCTGCCAGCTTTGCCCTGAGCACCGAGCAAATCGGAACTCGCGGAACGCTCTTCACCCTGCACTTTGAGTGGTTTTCCTAACACTTTCATTCTTACCTGAACCCCCGTGATATTCTGAAATTTAAAATAAATAAATAAAAGAGTCAAAATTTAAAACGCACGTGAGCCTCTGGTGCGAGGCTGCCCCTGCTGGCCTTGTGGCTTCCTTCCTTCTCTGAGAGGCTGCGGTTTTCTGTGCTGAAGCGTCCGTGGATCTGGGGTGCGGAGACTCGAGCAGTGTATTAAGGACACGCAACAGGTGCCCGCGAGTCTGTCTCCTAAACTGGAGCACGTCTGTGGGCGGCAGGGGCCGTGAGCAGCAGTCGTGCTGGGACAGCAGGTGTGAACGTGGGGAGCAGGGTCACCACACCCGCGGCCACCTGAGGTCTAGCTCGTACATCCAGCTTTTACTGAACGGCTCCACACGTCCTGCGTGGTCTGTGCTCTTCCAGAGCAGCAACTTACGCAAATGACTGAAAGAACAGAGCAGCTCGACACCACTGCAGCCGGGAGTCCTGGGTCTCAGTATCGCTTGCTCTGCCCTG